TGCACCCTCAATCTGTTATTTCCAGCGATCAGGCCCTTGTTCCTTGGGTGGCCCAGTTGGAGGTGGGGTTTCTCCACGTGAGGCGGGCCACTTAGGATCTTGCATTGCCCGGTTGCAAAGCTTTTTGTCCTTTACCTGGAAGGCTTTCCTGCCCTGCCCCAAATAGGCAGGTGGTGGCATGTACTGGACAGCTGGGTAGAGGTCAGCATTGCCCAACAGGAAGAGATTCACCTCTTGCACTTTGCCAGGCTGGGTGGGGCAGGCTGGCGTTGTGCATTAACGGCAGGAGCTGGGCTCTCTGATTGAGACGGTGGTCACACCCCTGCTCCTTGTAAAGAAGAGTCTTCTAGGTTCATTATTGACTCTCTCTGGCTTGAGATTCCCATTAGGCGCTTGTGTCACATCCGCTGTGGTGCAAAAGCAGCTGCTTGCGTTGCGGGCTTGCCTCTAGACCTGGAAATGGCTGCTGCGCTCCCCATCCTGCCAGATTTTGGCAGGTTGGCCTCGGTGCTCTTTTGATGAGCTGCCTCCCACCTTGACCCTTCTATTTGCAAGATGCTCCCTGGAGTGGGGAATAAGATTTTACTGGGGTTCCTTGGTGCAGCCCTCAGCCCCATACCCCTCCCGGCTAAGCCTTGTCTCACCTGTTTGAAGGGTGGCGCCTCTCACCCCTGCCATGAGGGCCTGACCTTTTCTTTACCGGGGCCTCCTGCACTGGTTACATAGGGACCCACCGCCGGTACAGGTGTGGGTCCTTTTCATCGCCTGCTTCTCCCTCCGGGCAGGCTCTAGTCTTCATGCCGCCCCTTGACCACGGCAGGGCCTGATCCCCAGCATGCACCCCGGGCCCTCGGAGCAGGCTGCCCCAGGCCACGTGAGCACATACTTCTGGGTGGGGAAGGTCAGGGGCTGCCCGGTCCCAGACACCCCTTGAAGTTCCCAGAGAGCAGAGAGACACCTGCCAAGGGGCTTCCAGGGGGCACTCCCGGGGAGTTCCCAAGTGATACCCCATTGATCTGCACTCGCTCTCCTTACGGGCACATCTGGGAGCTTTGGGGGGACGTGTAGCCACCCTTGCTGACCGTCGTTAGGGGATCACGAGGGCTTGGCCGGAGTCTAGCTGCGGGGGGGGGGGCGCATTCCCATTTAGGTGAGAACTAAGCCTTGGAGGCCCGTTCCTCCGGCCCCCAGCCCCTGGCTCAGAGGAAGCCCAGGATAACTGAGCGCCGGCAGCTGCTGGTGATTGGCCGCGGCTAGTCAGGGCGAGCCCGAGCAAACCCCGGGTTTGTAAGCACAGAGCTGACAGATGGACAAGCCCGGTTCTTGTCGGTTTTAAAAATAGCAGTGTGGGAACCCCTCGCAGGCTCCCTGGGGACATAAATGGATTGGTGCGCAGTGAGAAGGCCTGGCTGGGAGGCATCAAGTAACAAGTGATTAAACCATTTTTCCTGCTGCCTTTTCCCACAAGTGGTTCCCAGGTTTCTGCCTCTGAGGAGCACTTTGTTACCGGGCACCCTTCCCTATAGCCCGACCCTTTTCCCTCTTCCCGTAGTTTCCTGCTACTCGTCTTTCAGCAGGCCTGTCCCAGGGCCCGCTTTCTCCCCCTTCCAAGGTTCATGCCTCCAGAAAGCTTCCCTCGCCCGCTGGATGTCTTTGGAATCTGTGGCTGAGCCTGGAAGAGAACCCCACCGCTTCTCCAGAAAGTGTCCTTTAGAAGTAATCAGTCTGGTGAGATTCCTCCTGTCTCTCCCTACCCCGATGCCCTCCCTGGGGTGCGGGAGATATGCTTTGGCCAGCCTCAGTTGGAAAGAAACATTGAATGGATGTAAGTGCTGTGGAGAAAGTATCTTTAACAAATTTTACCCCGACTTGGTGCTGTTAATGCCTAGATTTTCCATCTCGGACCAAGAGGGGCGGGGCAGGGGTGCTCTCCCCATTCCTGCCGGGAAACGGAATTAGCAACCCTTCCTCAAATGGGAGAAAGGAGGTGTGATGGGAATGATTACAGAGGAGAAATATGACGCCAGCCCCACTGAATTGTGCCTAATCGTAGACACGCTTTTAGCACGTCACCATTCTTAGGTTGTATGAATGAAGACTGATGTCCGTGGACTCGGGTGGCCGGAAACGTCACTCGTCACCGGGTGGCGTGGGATTTGATGCTGATGGTGTGGCTGTGAGGAGGCTGGGCTCCTGAAGCCCCCTGGCCCCCCTCCCGCACCTGGGCTCTGGGACTGGCCTGAAAATCGCTCAGGTGCTAAAGTGATAATAGTCATCACAGTAAATCCAT